AAGAGCTACAGGAGATGATTCAGAACAGAGAAACCATACATCTGGTACAGCTCAGGTTTTAGGTTGGTGCCATGGTACGTCATTATATTTGATAATACGCTGCCTTAAATCCTCTGTTTTACATATTGCTGAGGATCTGAATGTGGTGAGATAAAAAAGAGACTCTGAAGTGCTTTATCTAAAGACACAAACTCCGGGCTCGTGGGCCACTTTCGGCCCATTAACCTCCCATTTCTGGCCTGCAACTAAATGTCAGTAATAATGAAATCTGACCCTTGGTGTTTTTTATTTTATTTGAGTTTGAAAATCTGGTCTAAACTATGTAGTATGTATAGTATGTATATATATTTTTACTGATGGACCTTAAAGTGTTTCTAGTAGCGATTCAGCTAGCTGGACAACCTTAGCAGTGGACATGAGGTTTTTATATGTTTGTTTCGTTAGAGAGCAGGAGAGTGAACGATCAGAGGAAAGACTGAGAGGCTCAAAGACCGGTGCATGTGTGATAAAGCAGAGAAGAAGATTTATTTCTCACTCCGTCTTTATTCCTCCTGAACACATAAAACGTAGTTGTGGCTATAACTGAAACGCTACATCTGGGCCCTGCAGGGTTAGCGTGAAATCATTTCTCTATTCCTGCAAATTACAGTAATGCTTTACAGATGATACTGATGATACTTGCGTGTGTGTGCATGTGTGTGTGTTACAGTACGTGTGCAATAAATCCTACCCTTAGAGTAAAAGCAGAGAAGGACAGATACAAGCAGAAATATATGAGGTCTGTTTCCTCATTAGCATCTCTCTGCTAGTATCACACTCAGTGACATCACTATGACCGGCCTGGTTCTGATCATTAATACTTTTTACATTTTTTTGTACAACCCTTAAAGGCAATACTAGTGAAGTTACTATTATTTTGAATTAAATTATTTTGAAAAATACAACAGTATTCCTGAGAGTTGAAGGAATACTGCTGGATTCTATTTCAGCGGTGACGCAGTTCCAGAGAGCTATCACCTTACTGGACCGGACTGGACTGGGAATGGAGGACAGTGAAATAGACCCCCAGCTGCTGGTGGTAGTTGGTCTCTGATGATGGAAGTAATCAATACCTTCAAATGCTTGATGATAAATGAAATATCCATATGTGCTTAGTGAAGTACACACAAGTAAAACAACATTCTGGGGGTCGTTGACAAACGGAGGTGCTGCCAAAGGAGGAGAGGAACAATTTCTATGTTGTTTTCTGTCTATGAAGTCCTGCACAGACCTCATGTGACTGTTGGCCAAAGAGGCCCAGGCCACACGGTGACACAGTGGTTATTACGTTTACCTTACAGTGAGACGATCGGTGGTTTGATCAGAAAAAAAAGAAAACACTTTTAATGATCCCTAGTGATAAACTGGTTTTGTTGCAGCTGCTCCTGCAAGAGCAAAATTAGGAAAAGCCAGAGGTAAATAGAAGGTGTAAAAATATATATATTATACCGAGTCTTAAGCATCAACGTAATCCAGAAGCTGGAGTAAATGAAACGTGACTAACATTTTTGTACAGTAAATAATGAACCACGTAACTGAAAACAGGTCGTGCAGGTCGGCATTACGATTTTACTCAAGTGAGGAAACGCTGGAGCAGCAAGGTGAACTCTCCTCTCCCCTCCCCTCCCCTCCCCTCTCCTCTCCTCCCCTGCTGCTGCTCCGCTCTGTGCAGTCGTGCGCCCTGCCGTCTCCCTCTCCCACACACACTCGCCTCCTCTCGCTCCTCCCATCTACTCCACTTAAACTCTCCTCTGTGCTCTCCAATAAAGCGCTTTTTGTCCCGGCCACTCGCCACTTGAGCGCATTCCTTGACGTGGAGGTTTTGGTGCACCTCTCCGGGGACTTGATGAGGACCGTGTTTGGGTGCGGAGAAAAGTTTCCAGGACGCATGTATTCCGGGAAACAACAGAGTCTGGAGTTACATCTATGAACTGCGCCGTCTGGATACGAGACACACGCGCGACTGCGCTTTAACTTTACTTCATCCAAGTTCAGGGTAAGAGTTTTCTGCTTTGACTCGCTCAAAAAAGGCGCAGCTCGACTCCACTGTCAGGCTCTGACAAGTTATTCGGAGCCGCAGATAAACGTGCGTAAAGACGCACGATCAGTGGTGGCGTTGCCAAACTGAAGGCGCATAGATCTGAGAATCATCATCACACCCAAAACCTGTCCGAGTCCACTTGGTTATCAGGCAACAATCTCATTCTACAGCAACAACGACTCGTGTGCAAATGCAGAAATACTTTAACCAAGTCCGATACATGTTTGACTTGGAGATGATTAAAATACCGGCAGGTAACCTGTTTAAAGAACAACCACCACGGACCTACTGGTGTTCTATCGGCCGTGTTGTGTCGCCCATGCCGCCAATCACCAGCGATAGTCACAAATAAATACAGAGAGGTCGGAGGGTGTTTGGGGAACGTGTAAAACACGGAGCGTGTGCGCGTCTGGGCGGTGACGAGGCGGCGGGTGTCGAACCGCAGGACGCCGCACAGCACGCAGGGATCGAGCCGAATGTCTAGACCGCACCGAGGCTGCTCCACCGCAGCGGACAGCTGTTATTGTTGGGAAACATCCCACAACAGAAGTCGTCAGGACTGAATGCGTTTGTCTGTTAACACACCTGAAGACAAGGGAAGGGTCCCGGACCTTAGGTTTAGTTCACCTGTACATAATGAATCTTATATTATGTATCATTAAGGTTTAAATGGATTAACCCTGCAACACTTTTACTGTACAGAAATGGATTTGTTAAGTAATAAAAACGCTCAGTTAAAAACTTATGCAGTGGAAAGTTCAAATATATCAACATGCACCAAATATATTTGTGCACGCCTTCTGGAAGGTTTTAAGTGCACAGAGCAATTGTCACACAAAAAACAGCAGCTTAACTCTCAGTAATTATACATGGCAGTTGGTTATCTATGAAAAGCTCTGAATCACTGGTGCATTTAACTTCAATTAAACTAATAACTTAACAACCTTCAATGGGCTTCTCTCCTGCCAGTGTATTCAAATGTAAAATTAAATAATAAATAATCAAGTTGTCACTCAGGATTTGTCCCCTGTTGGTAAAGACAAAATATCTGTGTATTACTAATACTGTTATAATATTATATTTCAAAACAAGTAAATAAATATGATATGGTAAAAAACTGAACTGATTAAACAATCCACTGATATATCTCTCTTTCTACAATCTGAATTAATCCAGTTAGAACAGTCAGGTTCCGCTCAGATTAGCATCTTTTACGCAGCATCACAAAACAGGCATGGAAAATCTCCTAATCTTTCCTGGTGGCAAACAGGTGGTGTAAATTACCCCCACTATTAACCCCATACCCTGCTGTACCCCTCGTTGCCTTTGCACGCGCTTCCTTACAGGCTGTCATTACTCTCCAGGAGAAGCCGCCGTGTCAGTGACAGTACAGAACGACTGTAATTGGTTTACCCTGGTCTCCCACACACAGCAGGGCCACAGGAGGTCAATTATCCAGAATTATTGTGGAGAAATCTAAGGCCGTTTAAGACTGTGTTTCTGTTGGAGTAGAAAGTACACAAGTGTTCAAGAATGACTGTGTTTACGCTGAGAATAATGAAGCTGCAGAGTAAAGGGTTTCACTGATGGATTTGTGGAGTCATTTGTTGATATGGAGACACTCAGAGCTGCTGAGTGAGACAGAATGAGAGACATCTGACAGGAGAGAGAGAGAGAGAAAGAGGGGGAAAAATTCTCCTGATTTGTGACTTGTGTAATCAAAATTGCAGCACAATGCGTGGTGACAAAAAAATGTGCAACTGTGCATGATGGGGTGAGCATTAAGGGAGAGACATGGGCTCGGTGGGGGGGGTTATCCCTCCCCCAGGGGACATTTCTTTCAGTTAAATGTTGGTCTGTGGATGGAAAAGTGAGGAATCCCTCTGTCACAGAAACCTATTTAAACAATTAAGCGCAGGCCTGCTGTCACACCGCAGTGACGGTGATGTTTCAATGACACTTCGGCCTAAAAACCATCTACAGACGTCAGCGCTGGAGCTATATCTGTTTTCGTTTTGTGCACTTTTAAAATAAATCAAGACTGGCTTGTTATCATCAGAGCCAAGGAGATCAGTGTCGAGGAGCTCTGATTTCTGTATCTGCTGCAGAACGCTGACATCTTCCAAACGCTTGGACGTGGCTGAAATATTTGCTGGATACCTTACAGGACCTTGCGGTAGCTGCAAATGCATTAACACAACACAGTAGTTCAGACTAAACGCTGTGGTTCTTCTTCTCCAAACTGGCAGGGAGAAGGGGATTTTCACCTCGTCCTACTCGCAGCCAAAGCTCAGATTTGCACCAATTAGGAGCGGCATCTGAAGCCTCATGCTAGGTGCATCAGAGGGATTACAGGGTTAAAAGTCAGGTGCGAGGTGAGGAGGCCTGGGGAAGGGAGGACAGGGGGATATGTGGAGTTGGAGAGGGGAGATAAGGATAAGAGAGGCAGGCTATAAGATAAATCAACAGTGGAGAAAGTTTAAAAGGGGGAGTGATTTTACAAGCCTTCAGAAAGTGGGGTCTCATTACAAAAAGCTGGAGAATAATTTGGAAAACTGATTTACTGCGTTACTGTGTCTTAAGCTGAAACGTTTAAATACATTTCAAGTAAGAACACAGCAATTCCACTAAGAGCACACCTACTCCTGCATGTATCCCTTACCAGCCGTGTACACATAGTACACAACGACAGTACTATCACGGTCTTTGACCCAGAAGCAGCAGAAACACCGCACGGCTAAAGACGTAAGATCCAGGATTATGTGATTAAAGCCCAACCTCACATGAGACTAAGAATTGTGAGAAACAAAAAATAAATCTTCTTCTGAACCTGAACATTATCTGTTAAATAAGATAAATGGAAAGGTTTTAAATAGGTGGTTCATGTTTTAAAGTAGAACACAGTTTAATAGATTTGTCACAACATTGGCACAAAATGAGTTTGTTACATTATACTATAGTGTGAGTTTTACAGCTCCACAAGTGAGTTTGTTACATTATACTATAGTGTGTACTTTGAATGAGTTATAAGATTAGAATAATGGAAACCTATATCGCTGCCCTAACTAGCAAATACTGCCAAACTGGAATGGCCTAATAAAAGGCTGGCGCCACCTACTGCATTTAAGTGTTAGTGCAATGTTAGTAGCTAAAAGAGTTTAATGCCCGGCCTGTCAGGAGAGATGAAGACAGCGGACCAATCAATCATCCCAGGACACAACTGCATGTAAACACACTTCTTAGGTGGTGCTCAACAGGCGGGCAGTTTCCCCCTGCTTGATAATGAAGCATCTCTCAAAGCGACGTTTTAAATGAAACCTCATCATCAAAAGAAGTGAGCCTCACACATCAATGCTGACCCAGCGGTATGTGAGGCAAACCCCAGCCCATACGCCTGCCAAGCTAAATTGAAGAAGAGCCGGCCGATGCAGCCAAATGATGCGTTCAGAAGAACCACTTCAAAACCTAGCATAAATATACACACACATGCAAAGGGATCTGAGGGCTATGGAGTGCCCCAGCTTGAGCACAAATAACACACACACACACACACACAAACTCAGCTATCCTCGAATGCAGATGCCCCTAAATCGGTTGTTACATGAGCAAAACAGTTCTTTGAAACTTAAGCTTACATTGAACTCTTGATATTTTCCTAACCTTTTAGCACTGGTTATAAATTCTTGGGTAAAAAAAACAACCCCAAATTCCTAAACTGACTCCAGTGAAGTATTAATGGGACAGAAGCAGAGCGAGAGACAGAAATGGAGGATGAGAGACGGAGAGAGGACCAGAGGGGAGGATGCTTATCCCAGAAAGCCACCACAAATTGCTGCATTTCAGTCAGCTCATAAAAAACACAGAACTTCTCTTAATCTAAGGTTGTAATTACCTCTGGTCGGGACTGTAATTAGGAAATGAGCCTTGAACTCGATCTTAGTGGGCAACGGCAAAGCAAGGACACACGTGCATGCACTGTTACGCACACACATATACACACACGCACAGAAACTGACACATACCTACGTTGTTTGACCAAAACCAGAATTAGAGAAGACAGATCATCCTTTGAGGACACAGTTTAATGTTTAACCACTAGTAATAATGGCTAATGGAAACGAGACAAAGAACCACTGAGGGGAACATTCACTTGGGTTCTAGAAAATATGTATTGAATGAGGGGAGAAAAAAGAAGTACATTTGAGGTTTGGTGTGTTTACTTAACACGGACCCTTAAGTGGCTCGGACCTCGTTAGCACAGAAAACAGGAACATCTAAATGTTTGTACTAAAATCTGCCAGTGCCACCACAGTGATTTGGTTTTGTTCGAGTTTTTTTTTTGTTCTTCTTTGCACTCTGGCCTGTAGTGTGTGACCATATATTTATCCAACTCCCAATCATTCATCGCCACAATCAACATGCGTGCACTTGTGACAATGTCACAAGTCATGGCTCGTCACTGGTACAATTTTAACATGCAAATGAGTCCGATGTGGAGGAAGAGCAGAACGTCCACACTGTAAAAGAGGAGGAGCCTCCGCACATCCAGCACTAGCAGCAGACTGCTGAGCTCCGTGTTGTCTTGGAAGAGATCAGCAGATGGAGGAAACAGAAAGGGAGTGACAGAGTGAGTGAGTCAAAGGAAGAAAAAGAGGAGGAGGTGATATTTATGTTTAACAGATGAAGACGGAGAAGAAAGAAAATTATAGAGGTCAGAAAGGTTTGAAAGGAATCAGTGCTCTAAAAAAGGCCAATGACAGGCAAAAATAGCCACTTCAAAGGAGGGAATGTATGAATGTAAACCAATACTGGTGAAAAGAGAAGGGAAAAAAGAGGAACTGGCAGGTTAAAAGATGGCAGTAATCTGGCCGTGCTCAGCCTGGACAAATTAAAGAGCGAACGTCCATGAAAAGATGTGGACGCGGCAGCACGAGGCATTTATGCCTATCAAAGCCACAACAACGTTGTCAGCAGTTTTAAAATGTAAAAAGAAAAAAAAAAACTGCTACAGTTGTTCATGACGCTAAAGTTGCAAAAGTGATTTGCTTCCAGAGGTTTAGTTCCACACTCAAAGCTAAATATTGACAGTGTAGTCAAGGTACCGTCTGAATGTTGGCATGTGTAATACAGGAACTGCACAACGGTCCCTCAGCTCTTCATTTCCTCTTAGGAATTAATGACAGGTATGCAAATAAGGGAAAAAATAAAAACAAAAGCACTGTTTCAGGCCAAACTAAATCGTGTGCTGCATGTAGAGGAGAAGTCAAATACATCTGTCTCCACAGACTGACTCAGAGCTCAGGAATATGAAACACGGCTTCAGAACAATGCTGAGCAGAACTGTAAGCTAAGAGCAGGACGAGTATTTCCAGTACACACTACATTCTGTCTGTGTTATACAAGGGAAAAATGTTTTAAATTTTTCTTTGAAAAATAGGAAATAATTGGGCCTTTATATACGACAAATGACAAATCCCATAATAAGTGAGCTGTTCTTGGCCTGCCTGTGGAGAAATGACTGGTCCTATCTTCATTTGTGTGTTTTGGTTGTCTGTTCATTCAGGCTGGTGCTCTGTTTTAGTTTTTAGCTGTTGGCAAGAAAACTTAACAAATGTACTGTTTTAGCCTTGCTGTTGGCAAGAAAACTTAACAAATGTGTTTTAGCAACAAGACAAATAGCTCTACATATTATGAAGCCAAATGAAAAGTTTAAAGGTGTCAGATTGGAATAATGAAAACATGTTAAGACACATCTGTCTTCAAGAGCTTTGGCGTTTTTTTTCATCACATATTAACAATGTCATTTTCACCATTTAATGTTACTGTTTTGAATTCAGAGCAAATATTGACTCAAAATTCAATGTAAATCTAAAAAAAAATAAAATCTTTGGACTTAGAGAATATGAGAGGATATGTAGAGAAATAGCTCGTTTAAATCTTTGAACTTGGAGGATATGTAGAGAAATAGCTCGTTTACACTTAGAACTGTTGACCCACCCCTGTAAAAGGTTCAACTCTTAAGGGTACTGTAGTATGTTGAAGTCACGTCTCTGCACGCATCAGTCAGGTCACAACTAATGGTCTGATACCACAGCACAAGGAGCTGACAGAGCACGGAGTGATCAGTCAGCATTCTTCCTCTCCAGCTCTGTCATTCCAGTGTTCCGCCACACGGGCCAAGCTACACTCAGCACACTCTGAAGTCACAACTGAAATCCAATCAATCACTGGAATCACTCAATGTCTGGCAGGGCCCTGAAGTATTTCAACGTACTCACAACTGCTGTGTTGTTTTCCAGGAGTGGAGAGGAAATCAAGAAATCAAGAAAAGTGGAGCTGGAGTAGAGGAGGAAGTTTCTTCATGGGGTGAGTGGAGCATGAAATAACCTCAGACAGCTTTAATAGGAATATGTGTCATTAGGAATAAATTGTGGTCAATTACCATCTTACAGTAAAGGTACGGCGGCCATCGGCGTAGGAAAAGCCGTCGGCTTCACACAAAACAGCCATAGATTACCCCAGAAAGAAACAAGTCATTTTGACACGTGTCACCATAATACTGCGCTTTGAATAATTGTAGTAAGAAACCCAAACCACATGCCGTTGGCAGTACTTAGCCTGTTAACCATAACACCCGGCTTCCTCAATAGCGTCCTTTCACACAGCGCTCAGCTTCTTAATAAGACTGGCAGGAGAACAGGAGGCAGCGCTCTCTAATACACACTGGCAGTATTTAACAGATACAGCAGAGGTGTGGAGGTTCACAGGCACAGGAGGAAAGACGTCTGTCTGTGAGTGTGGAGGAAGTCTTAGCTCCTCCACGTCTGTCTGGGTGATGAAGTTATGGAGCGAGTTATGGAAAATAGTCTATGAATGAGACTTGGAAAGACTCACACTATATTCTTTGAGTCATGTACTTGTCAGTATGTGTCCCATAGTACTCACTATAGTATTAGAACTCTACGTCAAACTCAAGGACCAGCTGTGGTGCCTCATAATTATATGGTCCATGACTTCTTTCTTTTACCTTTTTCTGGCCCATCATTGGGACAAAAAAGTGTTGTTTCTGCTTTTAATAAACATTAAGGATCTTTTTTTTCATCTATGCTGTTGTGTTTATCTGTAATAATCTACAAAATGAGCTGAAAATGTCAGAAATTATGTCATTGGAGGAATTTAAATCACAGAAAGAGTAGGTCTTGAAACAAACTTGGTATTGTTTGTTATCCTGGTTGTAATGAGTGATTATGTAAAATAATATTTTGTGTTAATTTCTAGGCAGGCCTGTAATCGTAGTAAATTGTGGATTATTCTTCAATATTCTTCTAGTTTCTGGTCAACAATTAGATACTGTTGCAATTAGTTTTTTCTTTCACTACGACCGGTACCAACGCTGATAAGAGAATCTGTGCGGACGTGCACACACACGACAGAACCAGGGCCTCAGGCTTAAGGACACACATCACTGCTCTCACTAATTGCTTTACAGCTCTGCTACGACTCTGTCTCCAAGTGTCCCCGTCCTCAGGGAAAACAAGGAGCTGAGTGTTGTGCTGGAGAAACAGAGAGCCCTTTGAAAGGTTGGCTTTTAGTGGCACACATTCCTCAGGTGGACGGATTGGTTCAAGGTGTGTGAGTCTGTGTGCTCGCTGTAAATTATTGCCATGCAGAAAAGGTTTCACTGGCACTGCCTCTGCATCCTGGACTTTTTTCCCCCCATAACTCTTTGTAGTCACTGCCATGGCAAACAGCAATTGTGAATGGTATACTATCATACCAAATTAGTCCAAGTGTTACGATATCTGACACTGGTTGGACGGGTACACCGCCCAGCACTAAATACACTTTAAACAAGCTCAACTGAACTTTGAGGTTAGCAACACCGTCAGAGAAATATATGATACCTGTATGTCTAATGATAAGGCCTGGTCCACCTAATAACAACATCATTATGTTTAACACTTTAAAGGGGAAGTTGTAATGTTACAGTTTTGTTTTTTAATGGCTTTTGCCTTTGGTACGTTGTTTGATGAACTATCACCTGATCAAAAGAGAGGCGACTGCACATTGACTGTGCACAGCCCACAGTGATTAAAATACTGTAATAAACAAATCAAGAGTCATTGTTCAGCATGTAATCACAAGGCACCCCAGGTCATAGCAGAGAGGCAAGTCAGTGTTTAAGTGCATGATTGTTGTGCAGCCTGACTGCTGCCTCCTCAGTACTGGCATGGTACCAACACAGACGGCAGTTTCACAATAAATTCCATCGTGACACTCTAATCTGCACTGGTGATCTCTCTTTCACATCTATCTTCGGTGTGAGGCACATGTCTGAAGTGTTTCTCTTCTTTTACGGGATTGGCCTCAGGGATAGGATTACTGAGGGAAAAAAACTGTAACTCCTAGAAAGATGAGAGGGGGGCTGAGGTGGTGCTAAAGACGAATCCCACTGCATGACGCTTAACTTTATGAAGGTGATGTTGTTCTGTTTTTTTTTTTTTTTTTTGCATTAAACAAAAGAAAAGCTTCCGCCTTCATGATTGTCAGGTTTACTATTAGTGAACTAAATTGTTGATCCAGTGTTCACAACGTCTGTACACCAACTTCACTCATTTTCATTGATCAAATACTGTTTTACGATCAGAGCGCATCTTTTAATACCTGATGCGAGGATCACACTGTAATGGCTGTTGGGCCAGGAGTGTCACAGCAGACAGGTCCACATGCCTGCCAGTAAATACAGGTGCTGATTATGACGTTAACAGTGACTCAGTTCCTGGTAAACACGCAAATTACACGTGAACTGTCAGTCCTGTCAGTGGACGTGTCAAATAAATTGGCCAACAAGAGAATTGACCCCAAAACAACAAAACCCAAAAATATCCATCTGCTCTTTTTTGGAATAATCATATATATACAGTACATATATACATATATAGTGCAGAATAAATGCCTATATTCAGGCAATGGTAATGTGATCTCAAGAAAGAAAAAAGTTCTGGGCAGATAACGAAAAGTACATTTAAAGTTATAACAAGGAAGCTAAAGCTTGCACGAAAAATAAGCAAAATCCAAAAAAAGCAAAAAGCAAAAAATAGTAAAGTTTGCTTGAAAGCCAGTTTAAATTCCTCATCTTTTGTAATATGATGATATATATACTGTATATATATATATATATATATAATATAATAGTATATAATGATAGTGTTGCTAAACTGTTGTTCAACAAGTTTGGTGAACCTGTCAGCTCAGCTAGGTCTACAGTTTCTTCTGCATATTTATTTAGTTGCCCAAGCGAAATCTGTTCTCTGACGGTTCTGCTCTTGCCACGAGGATGTTGTAGCAGGTGACATGCCTTCATCAGATTCCTGTCATACTCCGACTACGTGAACAAACCTAAGAGTAAGAAAACAGGTGAGCAGAGCAACAATGGGAGGACGGACTGCATGAAGGATAGAGCAGTGGGGGAATTTAGAAATATCTGTGCAGTGAGTCAAAAATACAGTAACCTTGTTGCTACACTTTTCAATACTTGAGGTATGAATGTCTGAAGAAGACGGAAGGAATTATACTGTGTTCAAACAGGAAGTTGAGGGATAATCCACATGTATGTAAGCTGAGGTATACATTGATAATGTGTAAATGAGTCTGTGCTAACAGCACGCTACGTTGTTTATCTAACAGAGAGTCAGCCACGCGAGTCAATGGGTCTACTGCCAGGTCTACTCCTTGACTCAGTCACACTCCTGTTTGAAACTGAGCAGTGGACAGGGGTGTGGTTGTCCTGTGGTTCAGGAGTCACCTGTAGAAGAAGCTGAAGGTCGCTGGTGCTAATGGAATTCAGTACATCTCAGACACTGTGACTGTGAGTGGTTTTTTTCCATTTCCTACGATGACCTGCAGGTTATAGTGTTATTTAGCCAGTTTAAAGGCTAAATAACTTAGAATTATGGTTACAGTTTCTGGCTCCAGTGGTTAAAGATAATTTTATGATCAAAAACATGTCTAAATGTTAATTAGTTTGATAGTTAAAAAAACACATTTGTGTTGCAGGGGAATGATTGTCAGTCAGTTAGGCAGCGTGTGCACGATGCTGAGTGATAGAACTGGTTGATCCAGGCACTTCAAACAACAAGTACACACACAACACTGACATGATCCTGTCCACAAATATGTCCAGGTACACACACCAGTGTTTTGGAGTTGAGTTGCTGAGACCAGTCGATGGTGTTGTTTTCCACTCAGTTAGTTTAGTTCTGGAATCGGACAGATGACGTGATATTAGCCCGTGTCCAGCAGGAGTCCGTTTGTTTAATGTTTGGATGTTTGTTACTTCTGCAACAGTACGGTTTCCTGAGTCACCGAGAACAGATATACACACACAGCCAGTTTGCAAGAGGTGTGGTTTTGATGAGTGAGCTGCGGGTGATGTGAGCCAAGTCAAAGGCTGTATTCATAAAGACTGATTTTTTATTTTAATTATATTCTGTCATTTTCAAATGCAGATATCCATGAAAGAGCAGCGTTTTCAGTTCTGGTTGCTCATATATGTCAGTGGTTCAACATATATGTGTTTTAATCCAAAGTGAAATGGTCCGTCTTTTATTTTGGAACTTGCAGTTTTTAACCTCTGTGGTCCGAAGCTCAGAGGAGGTACAGCTCGACTGCCGGCATGTTGTTGCACAGACCGACTTCTGATTTGGTTTGGCTGCCCCACCACCGACCCAACCCCACTTCCTTTCTCCACTTATCCTCTCTGTTCTTCAAGACTGGAGTGAGCACTAGGCCAGGGCTGGGGATCTAGCATAAGTCGCTTCTTTAACTCAGGCACACTTCAGAGGTTTTGGGTTTCACTTTGCCCCGGAGCAAGGCAGAAAGCACCTGTTGTGTAGACGTGGACTTTTAAGTTTCAGGTATATGTATGTCTGTGAAACTGGAGCTGGGTGTGTGTGTGTGTCCATGTCAAACAGTGCCTGTTAGCAGTGTTGTTTAAAGTTAACGTTGCAACAGGGGATACAGAATACTGAGCAGCAATTGAAACACTAATCTGAGGCTGACCTCTGAACTCTAGCAGTTAGATGTTGTCTCGCTGGCTCATGGGCTTTGTTGTCCCCCAGACTGATGCTATCTGACATGATGGACAAGGCAGAGCAATGATTGATTTGGCCTTCAGGTTCCTCCTTTTCTCCTTTGTGGTCGCTTCTCGACCACTTGATAGTGTAAACAGAAACTTTGAGAAGTAACTATTGACTTGGATCACAAAACCAAACAGAGTTGTCCTCTATCCCGGCCACAGTGCGTCAAGTGAACGCTGTTTTTGTGGGCTTTACTAGTCCACTAGTCTCCCATTCACTCTTGCACCGTGTGTTATGTTCTCTTTCAAGTCCTGCAGCTGCAGCCTCTAATGGCCGTGCTTGACACCTCCGTTTTAAGTAGGCCTCACAACCATAAATCCTAACATTCAGTGAAATGCCTTTCTGCTGATCACCGAGATTTCTGCACATCTTAAAATATGCAACAGTGCAAATGAGAAATGAAGAAGAACAAGAAAACAAAGTCAAGTTGGTCATTAGGAACAAATAAGGATGAAAATGTCACGTAGTAACAATAAGACTGCTGCTCTGCATGGGGATTTCTCATATTCAACTGGTTTGACTGCCATTAAAAACCCAAACAAAAATGCATTGTTTACACTAAGTGCTACAGTCTTGTCTGGCTGTGGGCAAAATGAAACAGGTGAGCACCGATCCTCTTCAAACAAACTGCCGTTCTTCTATACATTTGTATCTTGACCCTACCGGCGCCAAAGTCGTTGAGCAGCTGTTACTGTTCTTCATCACCTCCTCTTCTATTTAAACTATTTGCATAGTTGTCCACAGCAGTTTTAGGAATGCATTAGCTAATGCCTGAAACTCAAACTTCACAACAACCTGCATACGTACGTACGTACGTACCATCTGCTTTCCATTCTCATGGTTGACATTTTTAAACATACTTGTGTCTTGTGTTCCTGTTGTCTGAAGAAATGTGTTTTTACCCTGCAATACTTCTAAAGGGGGTAACGGGCATGGACGGTGATGACAGTGGTTAGGGATGGAAACACAACAAGCATTGGGTAATTGATAGTAACTGCTCAGTTGATTACATAATTTTAATACATAAAGAACAGCCGTTGATATTTAACTAACCTTTTTTATGGATAAAATAAGAAACAAATGTTCTTTCTTCTGCTGTCATTTTAGTCACTGTGTGTGAATAACACTAGAGTTCTTTGTTTCCTAATTGACAGTAAAGTGAATATCTTTGGTTTGTGGAAGCTTAAAAATCGTTTATTGACGTCATCATGCTAACGTTTTAACAATTTCTGCATTTTACAATCATTAAAATGGACTAAATATGAAAATAATGGTTGGTTGCAGACTTTGGTCGAGACTGTCCACAAACTGTATGTTTGCATTGAACCCAATGATTTACAGCCCTGAAAATCATGTTTAATGCAAACATTATTACAATGGTCTGCACATGGTTTAAAAAATACTTTGTTGAACAAAGGAATAATTTTCACTGGACACATCTGTAGTTTATATAATTTCACTTTTTTTCAGAAGTTTTGTTAGAGGGGAGAGAATTTTTAAAAAAAAATTCAACAAGGTTTATGTGTTTTTTGTTTTCAAAAAAAGGTTTTGTAGCTTCATCTACACAGTGATTTGTTGCCCTCCCATCACGTCTGCTGAGCTATGTAAGTGCACAGTGACCTGCAACTCATTCTCAGAGACACCCTCCCCCCCACACACACACACACAATCCACTTCTTATCCTCCCTCTTGTGCCCCTCATTGGCCCTCAGCGTTAGCCTTCAGCTCCAAAGATAAGAGCTCTTGACGCTCAGCTTGCTGGGATTTAATTGCCAAAGCCCACTGCACCCTCCCAACTCCAGGCCTTATCCACGTCTCCACCTCTGCGCCCTCACGTTTTTCTTTTTCATCTTGAATTGAAAAGAACTTTGGAGAAGACGACAGCTGACGTGGGCAAAAAAGATTTATCTTCCAACATATCCATCAGTCAACATGCTTTACTTCAATACCCGATCCTTCCATTGATTTAACTGTGGATTAGAGAAACTCCGACGTGGGGTCAATTGTTACATAACAGTTCTGGTAACAAAGGTGGTTCTAATCCCATCCCTTCAAGCAGTGCAGCCATTCATCCAATCGATTGTTTGTTTACCCAGTAGAACTTCCTTTAATCTCTAAATGCCAAACCCATGAGCCTTACAAGCTAATGTTACCAACTCAGCTGCTGCTTTTCTGAGGAATGTCTCAACAAGTACGCAGGGGAGAAAAAAGGAAATTACAACTTTAGAAAGGAGGAGAAATGCATGATAGGAGCCGGGGGTACTCCGTCCTTCAGCAGGTCAACAAGCCTCTTTTTCTACTATCTCTTCCCTCTCTGCAGGCCGTCCACCCTCACTCAGAACACAACCACAGAATGTTTAAGCTGTAGCTGCACAGCCAGGAGACACACTGTACTCTGGGAGTCTATTGTGAAGTCAGGCCACAACTGAAGCTTATCTTACACACTGATAAGACCTGCACAAGTGACATGCATCAAAAACGAAAAAAAAAAAAAAACAACAACAGCAGAATCTCAACCATCAACCTAGGTTTTATCTACCATCTGGCACTTCTCTTTGACAGAGCTCCTCCTCATCGGCAGTTTCTCCTCCAGCGGGTTATCAGATGTGCCTGGCCCAGGTCGGAATGAGGCACACTCAAATAAACATTCTGCCCCGGGGAGCTACAGTAGAATCACAGCACTGAACTTGTTAGAAAAATATTCCGTTGCATCTGATTAGATCTGGCTGCCTTCATGGATTTTGATCTTTAACATTTTGTACGTGATCCACTATAACATATTTCCGCATCTTTTATTATTCACTCATGAACAAATTTTCTTTTTTTAAATCACTGCTGTAATTTAACTATGTGGTTATGTTGAGGGCGTTTCTAAGTTTTGCAGCTTTATTCTTCGCATGTTGAGCCGGTCCTTTTGGCACATCTCAACTCGTCTTGTGTCATTTATAAATCTCGTGAAGGGACTGACTGTTGTAAAATCTCATTTTAGTCTCATACCCAGTTCAAGACAACAACAAAAGGATCAGGGAATCTTTCCAAGGAGGCTGCAATTTCAAGGAGGAACAGGGAGAAATGAATGTTGAAAAAGAAAGAAGATAAATCCCATAGCTTTGCTGTGATGAGATGAAACTGCAGCCCCTCACAAAGGGTTGAAGAACCTTGATGTACTCTCCAAGGTCTGAAATTTAAGACACTGTTGTCTTTTGTTTCTTTTTAAAAAAAATGAGAATATGTTTTTCAGAGCAGACAGAATTAAACAAGAGCTACAGAGACGACACAGGCTCATGACAATATGTTTTTCAGAGCAGACAAGAGCTACAGAGACGACACAGGCTCTGAAGTCAGGGTTTTTGTACGTGCTTTGAAAATCATAAACAACATATGGCCTCACCACTAGGTGTTGCTAAGTCTTACACAATGTACCATTAAAGAACATTTGTGACAATTTCTAAAATCTAAATCTAAATATCCTAAAATAATCCAAAGGTGAGCCATCAAACTATTGACAAAATAAACACAAAAAAACATGATGGCTATATTTGAGAGAGAAAGAGCGCACGGTCACACCTTAAACTCACCACAGTCTCACTCACGCACGCACCGCAGGAACAGAGTGTTCCTGCTGGGTGTGCAGGTTTTTCTGAAAGTAGGAAAAGCCAAATACTTGGTCTCCCAGTCAGATATTTGTGGTGCAGACACAAATACTTGCACCACTAAAGGACATTTACTTTGTTCCTTACAAATTCAAGTCCACCAACATTCCACCGGCTGTGGGTGTTGAAATCTTTAACACCTAAATGAATGACCAATTCTACCGCTGTGCCCAAGAATTTACTAAGAAAAAACAAAAGCAGTGAAAAAAGAGATGATGAAAACTGTACAATAGCAGCAGTAGAGCCGCCCCTCACCAGGTTGGCTCCCTTAAGTCAACAGCAGATGATGCACTGCTGCACAGGCTGGTGTCTGTAAATCTTCTCGTCATCATACAGTGTCTCAGTCTTTTCACCTTCTTCGCTCCATCATCCCTTCACGACCTCTTAAGAATCGTGTTGACATTCTATCTAAGTGCTTGCTTTTCCCTCTACCTCTGGTTATATTAAACCGAGTTGTACTTCCTTAAATATGTCCTTTTGCACATCTTGCTTTTGTTGGATTCTTTTTTTGGCAACTACAGCTGTCTGCGTAATAACACCATAAAATACACGTGTTGTCACTTTAGGACAGTGTTGTAGCAGACGTTGATGGTAAAGGTCAGGAAAACAGCAGCAGACCCTGGTTTAGGTTTTGGTCTAAGATTAGAAAACAACAAAGTAAATCATTCACAGACACACAGTGTGTAGCATGGCAGAAATCGACACAGCGTGGTCTGTATGAAACTGCAGAGAAGAGAGCAGTGTTTACACGGTGCCACATTTGGAGCGTTTTATTGTTAGCTAGCTCTTAGTCAAACTCGTGCAAAGTCGCACTGTATTTTCAGTTTGGTACATAATTCCAGAACCAAAGCTCATCACTCATCGCTGTTGTGCTGTGGAGCCTGTCATGAACAGCTATCACACTGAGCATGAGCAGCAGCAGAGGGTACGTGTGTGTGTGTGTGTGTATGGCTGTCTGTTTGTAGGACTTTTAAATAATAAAAACACACTCCTTCAGTGAGAAACGTTTGGCACGTAAACGCTTGGTCAAAATAGCCTCAGGCAACAACTGTAACCATGTTATTAGACAGACAAACTGCCTTTTGATCAAAGATTATAATGATAACATTACACTACACTTACTTTATCAAACACAATAAAGCAGAAACTGAGAAAATATTCACTACATCTCGGCTAGACTGGAATCTCTACAGGAACTCTAACATGGTCCTCACAGGAAATAGAAGAATGGAATGTTATTAATTACATTCTCTTTACATTTCTTTCCTGTCAAAGTGAACATAATAATGGTCTTTTCTAACAGCACATATTTCTTTTGTTTCAGGCAGAGCACGGAGAGAGGGATGGTCTGCACCATGAAGGTCCGTCTCGCCTCCTTGTCCTTTCTGCTTCTCCTAATCCTTCTTGATGGCGTCTGGTCCAGCGACTGCCCGAAGGATTGCACCTGTTCCACCCCAGAGTCCATCCTGTGTTTTCAGAGACGCTCTCCCACAATTCCCAAAGGAGTGCCTTCATACACAAAAAGCCTTTACCTCTTTGCTAATGGCATTGAGGGCATGACAGCTAAGGACTTTGGTGGTATGGAGAACCTGGAAATGCTGGACCTCAGTCAAAACAAACTGACTGAAATTCCTGATAGAGTGTTTGAACCTTTGACCTCTCTGAAAAACCTGGATTTGTCTTCCAACCAGATCACCCACATTTCAAAGGAATGCTTCCAGGGCATGGCACAGCTTGAGCGCCTTTATTTGTATAGTAATCTCATCAAGACGATTCACCCTGGAGCCTTCCAGGACTTGGAGAACCTCCTTGAACTTAAAATACAGGGCAACCAGTTGACATCTCTGCCTACTCTTTCAATGCCTCATCTGCTGTTACTGGATCTTCGATTTAATGTTTTGCCCACATTAGGTCCTTCAGACCTTCAGACCCCAAATCTAGAGTCGCTTAAGCTAGGTGGTGTGGGACTCACCAGCCTGGATAAAGAGCTTATAAATAATCTTAAAAACCTCCATGAACTGGACATTTCAGGAAACCAAATTGAATCCTTTCCCTCAGTGCTGAAGGAGACCCAGGGGTTGATTCACCTCAGCCTAGCTGGGAACCCAATGGGTCCTCTTGAGGTTCAGGACCTGCAGAACCTAGGAGAGCTTCAGGAGTTGGACATCAGCAGTCTCAGCCTGCAGGGTCTCCCTGAAGAATTCCCGCAGCTTTTTCCTCACCTCAGAAAGCTTACAGTAGCACAAAACCCCTTTAACTGCCTTTGCTCTCTAGCATGGTTCCCGCGGTGGCTGAGAGCCCAGAGCATCACATTGGAGAGAACAGAGGAAACCCGCTGCCATTTCCCACCCATCAATGCTGGGAAAGTACTAGAAAGACTGGAGCACAGGGATTTCGGCTGTCCTACAACAACAACAGTCACTACCAGCACTACCAAAACTACTACATTGGCCGCCACCACCCTGTCAACGACTACTGAGCCTGAGCCAGTCTCTAGAGTGGACTATGAATCCAGTGATAAAAATGATGACTCTGCTCTGCTTCCTGTCCCTGCGTCACCCAGCAGCAGCAGCAAAGTCAAAATAGATGAACAGAATTTTTGCCCCCCGCACACGTGTGTCAATGGTGGTACTTGTCATCTGGACCAATACGGTCAAGTACAATGTACGTGTCCACGTGGGACTTCTGGTATTTATTGTGAAGTCAAAAACCACCAACCAGCTTACCCACCTGAGGTTGCCATCCCAAAGGCAACTGTTGCCGTGAGTCCATCAGAGATCAGTTCCAATGAAGTAACAGCAACTACAATCCTAGTAGATCTTCACCGTTACATTGAAACGCGACCTTATCTCCGTGGAATACGCATCACTTATCGAAACCTCTCAGGGCCTGACCGCAGGCCCATACAACTTAGCCTGCCTTCATCCTTCCCCGAGTACAGACTCAGAGGACTAAAGCCCAACTGCACTTACAGTGTTTGTGCCAGCCCTCTAGGTGCCGCTAGTGGAGCAGACAGTGTTTGTACTGAGGCACGCACAGCCCCCGAAATCATCAGCATCCCTGATGCCCAGGTGACGGACCCGAGGCTGACTACTATGCTGTTGCCTGCAGCTGCCATTTTGCTCCTGCTGGTACTGATAGCGATAGCACTGGGTGTGGTGTGCTATCTCCGCAGAAAAAGAGCCAAGGGTCACCTGGACCTAGACTGTGAGCCTTCCCAGCTGGAGTTGGATGGAGTCAAGGCTGGTTTGGACAATCTGGCACTACCACAAAAAGAGACCCCAATAATGATTCCAGAACCGGCGGTTCAGACTGGCAGTTTGGAATACGAGGTGTTGCTAATACAGGATCATTGTACGTCAAATAACAATATGTCTTCACACAAGCCTTCCTACTTTTAACAGAAGGTTTTGATTGCTCTGAGTGAAAGATGAACTTTCAAAGACACGTGAGACACGGTGAGCCATCCAGCACAGGAGAACGTGGACTTGTATTTATTTCTGTCTAAGTAGACAATAAACACAAGTAGAAAAGAGTTCTTTAGACTTTAAAGTGTTGAAAGTGCCTCTACATTTACATGCTGCACCCTGCTTCAGGTTCTTCTCCTTTACTGCTGGACTGGCACTGCGTTAGCTCCTAGGCTGCAGAGCTGAAGCTAACGATGTGTGTTGTCACTGGTTAAAAGCTGGGGTAGAGGGACACCCTTATTGTTGTTGATGAAGGAGTGCTAAGTAACTTGGGGTTGTGCTGGATTTACAAGCCCAGGTAAGCACTTTCAGCTAATGTTTTGCTGCATGATGTCACTCCCCAGCACTCGTATCCCCCCCCCCCCCCCCCCCCCCCCGCCTTTTTTGACATGTAAGTCATTAAATGAAGTAGTGCAGAGTAAATAGCTGATCGCTTTGTTTGGCTCCTGTTTTTAAATGTTTTTTTATGCTGTTGTTTTATATATATTATATATATATATGTATGTATGTTTTTTATACTTGTCTGTGTATTGTTATTTGTGCAACATTGTGACTACAGCCCTTCATACCCTGCACCCCCACCTCCTTCTTTTGTGACTAGCAGACAAAACAGCAGATTAAAATCTTTGAAGATTAAAACTCTTATGGCACCAATAAAGTCAATCAAAAGGCTTTGTCCCCAGTGTCAGACAGCCTAAGTAGATGTGAGTCTGGACAGACTCAGGACTAAATCCCCCTACCCATTTAGAGGCTTATTAGCCTACCTCACAAAGGGAGAAAGCCAGCCAGATTACAAGAGTTACAGCAGGAAACAGTTGACAGAAACCCTTTGTTGTTATTCAGTTTGATTCATTAAATAATAAAACTTCCCTTAATCCCTTAAATTTGCCAAATTGAAATAATTACATTTCTCAAGGTTCCAGCTCCATGCTCACAAAAATATCCCTCTCCACTCCAGTTTTAGGATTGTTTCCGATCTCATATCGTACCCTCTAGTGCCATTTCAGTAAAGATGCATAGCAGAGCATTGGTCACGTTGTTGTAACACTACAGGATCATACAGGGACAGAAGAATCAAAACGAATCCAAATCCTGTGCTAGCAAACTAAGCCAAGCACAGTAGTTTCAATTCAGCAGCAACAAATAGACAGATATATTTTATTGATCCCAAGGTGGAAAATTACAGATGTAATGTAACAAACTTGACTCGTTTGTGCATTGAAAAGTACTGACTCCTGCACTGAATTCATCACACAAAATCAACATTTTCACAATCCTAAAATCTCATGATGACACTTCAGCTGAAAAAACAAAAAATGTTATTTATTTGTCACATTAACTGTAAGGGAAAAAGCTCGTCAGTGAACCACAGTTTATGTACAATGAGATACATGGCTCACGACAGTTGTGGTTTTGTTTCTCTACGCAAACTGTGCAGTTTCTCATTGGCCTGAAATGATTTTTTGTTCATCTGCACAAAGCACACCACACAAAGGACAGAGTAGCTTCACAATGAGACTCGCATGTGCAAATGTGATAACATCTGTGATAATTTAAGTACATGCTGTGGCCTGTGCAGAGAACGGCAGACATGGAGTTACTATCACTTATGTGCCTGCGTGTCTAAGAGTACATTAAAACCCAAACAAGTGAACCTAAAGACCATTGAACCAAAGTCTGTGAAACCAACCTGCAGTATTTGCCCTTGGCTAGAGAAGCCACACAGACAACAGCAGACAACAGCAGACAACAGCAGACCAACGCAACTGGAATATTAGCCTGTATTGTAAAATACATTGAAGAAAGAAAAAAAAACTTCAATGTGATTGTCTATTTTTCCCTGTTATTTTTGGGAAGCTCTGTCTTGGCATTTATTGATGTTCATTTTTTTTTATTATTTGTGTGCACTTATTTGTGTAAGTGAAAAAAATGATATTATCATTAAATGAGTTTTGAAAACTTAACACCAAGTTGTCATTCATTGTTCTGCAAAACATGGCCATTTTAAATACAGAATGAATTTTCTTATTTCTTTAGTTTATTTAATTGAGTCCACATGTTGTGGAGAGTTTGATCATGATTGGCTCAGGATTAATGCAAAACTGTCAAGGATTTATATTTTCCAAAATAGCGACTCTTTATTTTAATGTGAATAGTTCAATACAAGCCACATCCACGGAGTCGGTAGAATTTAAAGGGAATGTGTAAACAGTACAACGTGATGGCCATTCCCATATTTTAAATTAAATCTTTGTCACTTCAAATATGCAATAAACACCTTTTAAAAAATATATATTATTATTTAATGTATTATTTAAATTATTAAGAAGAGTATAAATGTTATTATCATCATATATTTAAGAGAATTCTGTAGTTTAGGAACCTTGAGTACACTGACACTACTGTGTCTCACACTCTGCTGCAATATTAATATATGTAAACATGTATTACTGGTATTAGCAGCAGTTGTTGAAGTACTTAACAGGTATACAGGCACCCGTGAATATGGTTTATGGGATTTAGAATTTAAAAAAAAAAATTCAATGACCAACGTAGAAAGTGCCACTCTTCTTCCACAGCACTGTTCAAAGAAATATTATGGGATGTCGGTGAGGTTGTTTGAGGTTCTCTTGTTAAACCAGCAGCGTGCCAGCAGTGGTGACAGTTGTAGATTTACAAGGAGAAAACCAGATCTCCAGGTGATTATCACCTTGTGCCATAATAATGATAATAAAAGATCCAGTTATTAAACCACTTGAACAAACTCGAATGTTTGTTGTCAAAGGCCTCGAATGTCAGCAGCAAGACACCAATGGGAAAAAAACAATAGTTGATAAAGTCAGATAACTGAAGTTAAATATTTATGAATGACTCCAGGAACTCAGCGCTGCCTGCAAACCCGTGCAGACAAAAGCGACCGACCACCCATGTGTTTAATAAGTAGGATGGTGGCAAGGAATTTCAGCAGCATGCATGCACAGACACACCCACATCTGCAAACAAAAACACACGCACACACGCTTGCCAATAGCCTTGAGCTGTTGTGCCAGGTCCAACGCAAACAACACAAACAAATGAAGCAGCAGCACTCATTTTCAGTAAAGTTCCTGGTGAAACCCCAGGAGGTCAACAGCTTCAGTTTTTTAATGTCTTTGGGAATTCTTAATGGTAATTAAAGTCATACACGCACCTTTTTTTCCAATAAGGTTTGGCTGTTCCTGCAGCTCATTTGGAAATAGAACAATGTAATAAGGTGAGTCTAACTGCGAGCACATGTGTGCGTAAATGAGCAGCTCCAGGTAAATGGACACATGTGAGGCATAAATGATGTCAGAATGAAGGACGCCTCCAGCACAAAGTGTGAATGTGCATTGTGGTGCTCTCCTGCCAGCCATCTGCAAATGTTCATGTATGTGAAGTAAACGTAGGAGAGGGAGCGGAGGGCGTGTGTGTGTGTGTGTGTGTGTGTGTGTGTGTGTGTGTGTGTCTGGTATAGCTATACTTTGTCCATAAGAGACTATTTGCAGGTTCCTTTGAAGTGAGAGGGTATTTTGAGACTCAAGTTTGGTTTGAAGTGAGGATTAGAATTAGTGTGAAGTTAAATTTAGGGTTAGGATTATATTCTCAATAGTTATTGGGCTGGAGATGACAGAACACATGTGTGCACAGGCATGCATGTGTTTCTGTTTCTGCTTCCTTTCTTTCCATAAAACACACTATTTAACACCACCCCTCTCCGACACACACACACACACACTCAGAGAAACCTTGTTTCTGGATAGCAGCCAGCTAACACTCCATGCATGTGTTACTCAATGGACTCTATTGTAATGTCAGGGGACTTTCATTTTTCAAAATAATCAGCACAAAAAAAATTCCTGCAAGTCATCAATTAATTTACTCCAGAATAAACAGCTGTTAGTCTTTGGTCGGCTGTTTGGTGTCTAGAACGTTGCCAAGTTGAGGGCGTTGTGAGGGCAGCCAAGGACAATGTGCTGAAACAGCAGGTCACGTGGCTGCAGGACGGTGCTTCCAAAAACAATGAAACAGTGAAAACAGTGCATCACTGAATGGACCAATTAAATGATGACAGATTTCTACATCTAGACCACCGTCCTACTGAAATGATCAGGTGTATGTGGTTTTTCTAATCTGGTTAAACTCACTAGAAACGCTGGTCAGTGTTGTTGTGTTTTTCTTGTTTGTTACTGGAGTCTCATGACATCACGGGTTTTACAGCAATAAAGCATTAGTGTGGATGTCTTTTACTACTGTTTCATTTTTTTAAAAAATCAGTTAAAGATTTTAAGATTTTTTTCACAAGAGGCTCAAAGTAGCACAAACAGTTAGTTTAAAAAGAAAAGATTCTAAGATTTTTTTCACAAAAGGCTCAAAGTAGCACAAACAGTTAGCGGTACTACTGAAACCTACTGAAACATTCTCCAAGAAGTGTTTACATCAGAGAAATTTACATCATAACCTGCTTCTTTCCCTCGTCCTAGAACTTAAATCAATTTCTTTTCAAATATTCTTGAAAATAAAATAAATAAATAAATAAATGGGATCAGATCAGGGCTGTAATTTTAATTTCAGAAATTTTAAGTGTTTCCACGGCTCAACGATCAACAACAATATAATGATCCAACCTTTAGGAGACGTCTGGGAGAGAGACGCGTCCTAACAAGTTTCAGTTATTAAAATATTTGGTTATTAAAATCTGTCACTTTTTTTGAAATATTAACGAATGTCTTTCCCTCACATCTGTCACTACTGCGTCTTTCCACTGGAGCTCATTAGAGTTCATTTAAATTTGAAAAACAACAAATCAAAAGTACAGTTTATGCTCAGGTTTCAACAAGTCTTCCATCGGCCTCAGGTTTCTCTGACCTTTTTTTACTCTCCTAAGGTTTTTATCACAATCACAATCCTCCCGCACCACGTGTGTATGTTCTCCAGTTCTAGAACCATATTAACGGTTTGGGCTTGATGATTAGAGCGGTTTTTCTGTGACCCTGTGTCGTACAGCTGCCTGTCTGCGCCTCCGTGGCTCAGACGCTGCTTCTATGTCAAAACAAAAACGAAGGGAAAGATGAGAAGTGGAGGAATGAAAGAAAAACAGGAAAAAGAAAGGAAGTGTTCAACTTTGGTTAAACCAGGCTTCCGTGGCGTCACAGACGAGTGGACACATGCAGGTCATTTCATGTACGGTTTGGTGGATTATTTCATAGAAAAACAAACAGCAGCATAATTTCCCAAGTGTAAGTATTGAGTTCCGGACTGTGGACGTCATTGGTGTCATTTCAATTCTTTCTCCTCAGTTGGACTGACTTATGTTTACAGTTTATGGAGTCATTCTGAAAAC